TTTCTTTCTTTCTTTTTTTCTTTCTTTCTTTTTTTCTTTCTTTCTTTTTTTCTTTCTTTTTTTCTTTCTTTCTTTTTTTCTTTCTTTCTTTTTTTCTTTCTTTCTTTTTTTCTTTCTTTCTTTTTTTCTTTCTTTCTTTTTTTCTTTCTTTCTTTTTTTCTTTCTTTCTTTCTTTTTTTTTTTGTGGAGGAATTCAGTGACACACCTTTGCTTCATATGCACTTCCATGTCAGATGCCATTCTGTCAGACTGTCAGACTGCCCCTCTGCTGCCGTTTGTCACACAGCAACAAAATGTAATGGAATACTGGTGGGGAGGTTCAACTTCTATTGTCATACCACCAACAACATAATAAGTGCAACATAATAAAGTAGTAGGCATTACTTTCAGAGCAGTCTTCATATTTAAAGCTATGTCATGATAACATCTTTCAGAGTTTCAAAGGTAATTCATATGGTACTGAAGTGAGTTAACAAAATGGTCAGCTTAAGCAGTTAAAGTGAAAATTTATTAAATGGTTTGTTTTAGGAGCTAGAAATCTAAACCCTGTTTTAAGATGTCCCACAGAACCTCTGCAGTCAAGAATCCTATCCTGCTTTACTACTGCTTTAGCAGTTCTACATATAAAAATCTATACTGTAGTTCAAATATGCCAATGAAAATAGCTTACATTTCAAACAGTGCTATAGGTTTCCAGGTACTTTAACAGTATTGATTTAATTGTAAGGTTGGGAAAGTATCTAGACTCCTAGTAGCTTTGCCAGTATACTTACAGTTGATTCAGACAGATTCAGGCTAAAGCTATTCTGAGACTTGTTTGCAGCTGTGGGCTGAAAATAGAGCAAGTCTTAAGTTTACAGTATATACTACATTATTAGTGTAATTGCAGTGGCAGAAACGAGAACTTCAGCTCAACTGGCAGTACCTTTTCCTGTACCTAGTGTTTGTTCCCTACCAGTTTCTTTGCTGACAAACTGAGGATAAAGGAGATCTGTCACAGAGGAAAACTATATATAAAGCATATTAATTTGACAGTTGCTCCAGAGTAGAAAAAGTGAACGCTGCCTCCTAAGTTAATAATTAAGGGAAACTAGCAGCTTCAGATTGTTCCTTAACTAAATTCTTGCTACATACATGTGTTATAAGGACAATGTATAGTGCACAGTGATTTGTAATTGCTACTACTAGCAGTAGAGCCACATTTATTTACCAACCTGTGATACACTGAAAGTTATTTTTGTTATGTGTGATTAAAATTTCTTGACTTGTGGGGGGAAGGTCTCAAACCATATGGAGGGCAAGAAAGCAAGCATGGTTTCTTTTTGTAGAAATAAGCAGAAACGTAATGAGAAGGTTTTACAAACTCTACAGCACCCATCTTCTTCGAGACTTGCTCAGTATTGACAATAGTAAAGCTGTACATGAATACGCAGACCAAGGTATGACAGCTCTGCAGTTAATAAGAGTCAGTGCAACAGGAGACAGACCTGCATTAGCAAGACAAGGCGGCTACCTCAGACATTGCTTAGACAGTTGTTTCATCCTCAGGTTTTGCTTACCCTTCTTGAAACTCAAGACTGGTGAACATTAAAAAAAAAAATCCACTGAAGAATAGCAACATCTGCATTATCTGGACTGTTAAAAGCATAGTATATAGAGGTTTGTGAATCCAGTTACTTAGTGAATAAATTAACAAAAGAGCTGGTCAGAGACATGAATTAGCAGCATGAAGTCATTAAAACTATGCTTGCTAAATTAAAATTTGCTCATTAAAGAAACTAATTTGACAAAGGGAAATCTTACCACAGGCATTTGGGAAGAGCAGCTTTTTGAAAGACAAAGGGAAAGATAGGCAATTTTGACCAGTGTATCACTGCAGGCTTACAAAATTACACTAACTACTCAGTGTCTGCTTTCTTTTTACTAGTGAAGCTTTGCACAGCTGCTCAAAGACAGAGGCTTTACCAAATGAATTTGTAAGTCATTCAAAATTTTTCATGCCAATAATATAGCCAAAGGCAGAAATAGAACCACAGCAATAGGGCAAATCATCCACTAAGTCTCAAGGGTAACTTAAGCCCAGCAAAACCAGTGAAGCTAAGGAATGTTATCATTTTATGTGATTAAGCTACCACTGTATATAATTTTTATTTTTTCCCCCCCACAAAGGCTGAGCAACTGAAAGAAGTTGCCAAGGAAGCTGTGTTCATAGTCAGAATGAGCAGAGCTTTCAGCAGCCTGATAAAATGAAACATGTCCTTACGTGTTAGAGAGCTTGAACTAAATGATTGCTTAAAAGATCCCTTCCAACCCAAACTGTCCTGTGCCAGTTTGAGGTTGAAAGTGCTTCCTGCAGCCACAGTCCCTCACAGCTTCTGGGAGGCCACAAGTCAAGCATTCAAGAAACTTCCTTCCATACCTTTTGTCACTGCTTCACACTGCAGTTAGTGAATGATTAAATCAGCAAAAATCCTCTGTATGCTATATTCTCCTTCACTATTATTACCAAACACGATTATTTTCTGATTAACAGAGACACAAGAGTATCTGCTTTTGTTAAAGTCAATTACTATATTATGAAAATCAGGCATATTTTAAAATTAAAAACAAATACAGTTTTGAAGAGAGAACCAGAGAAGACATAGTTTTATCACAATGTAATTTAGGGCCAACAGTAGACTTTAATTATTGATCAGTCTGGTACACTACTTAAGAGTAATTATTGATTGCTGAATCTTGTGTAATAGTGTGTGTGCTATGACCAGTGAGCAGAAGTTAGACCTAATTTCACCTGGGAGTGGCAGTGTCTTTCTGGCTCACATCCGGCAACTTGGTTTGGAGGAAAGCATAGATATGTGGCCAGATTTTATTAGTTTCTGTTCCAGAGAAGGATTTCAACAGCCCTTTTTCCCTGAGGAAAAAAAAAAGAAAAAAGTATTATAAAAGTCAAATTGCCTCAGCCTTCCAGGATCCCTGCCTCGCTTTAAGATTGCCCTGGCCAAAGTGTACTAATGTGTATGTGATTTAATGCCAAGAGCAACCAGAACATTGGGAATGCAGGTCTACATGCATTAGTGTGTTCTTCAGACAGTATACTATTGGCCACATCAGTTCAAAAAGCTGGTAGTTGTCTACAGAACAATTAATAAAACTTATTAGAGGTAAAACTTAAGAAGCAGTCAAGCCATACAGCACATCCTATATGGTAGTCATCTAACTGACTGCATTTTAGAGTCAGATCTTGAAAATCAAACCAGGCACAATCAGAATGTTTGGAACTCTAGTAGCTAGTCTTATCTGCAGTGTGTCATTAGGCCTATTTACAAGCTTGTAAACTTCAGAAAGTTACTAGTCAGGAAAAAAAAATTCTAGATTGAAAATAGCTATTTTTCTAAAACTGAACCAATCCAAAAGATAGAGCTCCTAGTTTTCTATTAAGTAGTTTTCCTAGAGCATAATAAAGGGCGGTAGATACAAAGAGATAGAGGAAGGGACAGTTATTTCAGGATGTTCTTAAAAGAAGTCTAGTGTGTTTACCGTAGGTGAGGTAAGATGACAAATCTCTATACAGTGATCAAGTATTAACCTATTTATTACTAACATAGATAAAGCAATTTCAATAAAGCAGAGCAGACCAGCTTACCATAAGGAGAGACTACGTACAGTTCTACTCTTCCACAGTGCAAATGGTATTATTCTCAAACAGCTCGTTGTTCTGAGTGTGTTGTTAGCTTCGTATGTAACAATCCTATTCTTCAAACAGACACCTCTAAATTCTCATTAACAACTTTTCTATTTTTCAGTTTCTTGACCCCTTGTTGTATTACAAGGACTTCTACACATGCAGAAATTAAAAATACTGTGAAGGTTTCCAAGAAAGGCACTGTCTCTGTTACCCTACTAAATAGACCTACATCACTCATATCACTAATATAATTCACTGAATAATGCCTAGCATTATGTGTAAAGCTAAAAGCAGCTGCAATGAAAGGCTGTTGTGCTAAGCTGGATCATCAAAAAGTTCCATGCAACAGTCAAAATCATACTGATTGTACTATTTTTATTTCTTAAAAAGGTAGTGAAAGATACACTGCTACTCATACCACACTGACTGTTTTAAGAACTCTATAACTAGAGGGACTTTTTCCTTGCTGTGCTAATGTGGCAGAAGCATAGTTATTTTACTACTTACCGATAGTATTCTAGAACGGGTTTTGTTTGTGCATCGTAAGCCTGCAGCCTCTTGGTAACCGTCTCTGGCTTATCATCATCTCGTTGAACAAGGGGCTCTCCAGTAATGTCATCAATGCCCTAATCATAGTTTAAAACCAAATGCGTTGGTTAAAAGCAAACACTAATGTATATTTCTGTTTGTGTATTTTTTCATTTAAATTATGATCAGATTTCAGGTAGTCCAGGTGTAGGTTTCTGCTTATAAAGATAAAAGCTACCATCTCTATCTTACCTGGAATATAAGAAGTTGACTTTCAAGTAAGATATTCAATTACTATAAAAATACTTTCAGAGTATTTACAGAGAACATGAGGTTATCATTATTTTACTGATTAGGTCTCTGGAACATTTGCTGAATATTGAAACATGTAGACAGAGCCTTCTGATATGGTTTTGGCTGGGACAGAGTTAATTTTCTTCACAGAAGCTCATGTGATGCTGAGTTTTGGATTTAAGAGGAAGAAGAAGGTGGTTGATAATATGTTCATGCATAAGGGCAAGCAAGCAAGAAGCTAATTTGACCTTAGTTTGATGACAGCAAAATGGAGAATGGAATTCACAATCTTTTTAAGTCACACTGCAGAAGACTTAATGTTTAGCAACAGATAAATATGACAGCAAAATATAACATGGAAGCCAACAGAAACAATTCTACAGTTCAGTAAGCAGAGGCATGGGCTTACTATGTGACAATTCCTACTCTTGTACACATTTCAGACCAGTTTCGCGAAGGGCTTGAAGTGGTTAGTGTGCTTATAAGTATTGAAACAAGCAACAGCCAAGGAAATCATCAGTCACTGGCACAGTGGAAGATACAGGAACCTCGTTAAGAATTAACTAGTAGCTTTAAATGCATCTCCTTAGCTGCACTGAGTTGTGCACTTAGTTACAGAGTAACACACCATACAGACATGGGGGACTCTCTGTTCCTTCTTACATACTAATTAAACCTTCAATTATTTTCATTTGTTACAAAAGGCAAGTTTAATCTGACATCTGAAGTGGAAATATTAGTTATCTTCTAAGTACAAAGTCTGTTAGACAACAGAAACGTTCCTTCTTCCTGCTTGTTTTTTGGCATTTTCAAGAACCAATGATAAATGTCAGTGTTGAATAAGCTGCTCTGTTTATGAAGGCATGAAGAAAACTTGTTCCAGAACATGTCTGATATTAGAGATATTAGAGATTACATGGTCAAACTTACCTTCTTTATATTATACAATAATTTAAAATATTCAGGGGTTTCTATCTAACATCTGTGAAGGCAACCATAGTAGTGCCTTAGTTGCACCTGTTAAGTATCAGGACTGCAGTTTTGTATGAACTCTCAAGCCACAGTCTTTTAGTTTTGATGAGTGTATGGGAACTGCTGAGTCACGGCCTGAACCTCTGATTGATCACCTGAGGCGAGCACTGGGTCAGCCATGGCAGCACAGGTGAAGGCAGTTCAGTTGTGCTGCCGGAAGGGGTGGAGCCTGGCTCCACTTCTCCTAGACCTATTTAAGAGCTGGCTACCAGTGGGGAAGGATCTCTTCTGGAGATCCGCTCTGCTGGAGTTTTGTAAGTGAGCCCAGGATATGGGTAAGCATCTTATCTTTTCTGCTTTGGTGTAATAACTACATAGCCAAGCACTGGTACATCTCTTAACTATAACATCTGTGCATTCATTGATTGTACAGATGAGCAATTAGGCGGCTGAAATTTTTTCAGAGCTACCAGACAACACAGACAACTGCACTGCACCTGTTCAGTGTCATTTCACAAACTGCTTTAATATGTTGTGATATGCTTCCTTCACTAATTACGTGATAGGTAGAGTGGAGTGCATAGTATAGCTTTCATAGCTGGAACCCACTCTGCTATGTCTGGTAATGCTCTGTTGCTGCTTGTCTATGTTCTTCTGCAATTAAAAGTAACCATAATTTAAATTCCAGTTTTAAACTATACTTAATGTTTGCAATTGCTCACTTTAAGCAATTTCACTGGTATTTCACTGGATTCTTTTCCTGCAACACTGTAACCTCAAAAATACAAAGCCTGCTATAGTTGTGATGCAACTTAATAGAACTTCCAGATAAAATGGGATGCTGCAACAGGTAAGTTATTTAGAGTTAAGAATGATACAGAACTGAGTACCTAAAAAAAATTTAGGGTAATGATGTATATCCATTATATTATTAGCTTACTGTTCTTGTTTTACGACACCTCAAGCTTTAAGCTTTTTGTTCTGTTGAGAAGCTTCTCATATTACCAAGTTCCTATATCTAATTTTGCAATATAACAATATAACAACTGCCCCTCTAAAAATACCCTGATTAAATGGTAATTAATCAGGAAAAGTATCAAGTGGATATCTGTGACTGGTACATTACTTAATGTGCACCCTGGATAGAAAGAATGAGTCCTCTAGAGGATGGGAAACGGCATTTCAGACTGCACAGTCAGTAACTGCAAAGCAGGCTAAGATGACACCCAGCTCACATGAATCAGTGAATAATACGAGCTTATGACACAGTATGAGGAGCTGGCATCATGGTGTTTCATTCTGCAGAGGGCAAGCAAATTGCCCATGAGCTTGAGCTTCTACCTGGGCATTCTCCAAGAGGCAGTGTGTTAGCAGAGAGTTTCTGTGCTCTAAAGAGACAAAACAAATCTTTTTCTTCTGAACTACTGTATTTTGCAATAATGTACATCAATATTTCACTACAATTCCAAATGCAGGGCAACATTTATTTAGCACCAGTATCAATATGTGTATTGCTTACCTGCACTTTGGGGGGACTGAATTCAAGGTTGTAGACTCTGCCACTACTAGGGTGGATCCAACGTGCAGTGAGACGACATTTTATGGTTTCAAATGGTACGTCTAGGTCAATCACAGTGTCTATTTGACACTCTTTATCCAGGGCTTGTGCCTGAGCAACTGTTCTAGGGAAACCTTTATGAAGGAAATAACTCCATAAGTATCCAGAGTTATGAGAATTTGCTGGATTTCAACAGTAGAGAAACTGCTGGTCAGATAGAAAATGTGTATTATCATGCTGTAAAGGCTAAAGAGACATCAGATTTTTCTGATAATTTTTTCAGCAGATTTTTCAGTTTCGTGGCACTATTGTTGAATGTCTTCCAGCTTCCTTTTCCTCAGTTCATATAGGCATCTTCCCAGAAGTGTAACAAACAAGCAAAAATACCCCATATTCATATGTACTATGCACCAATTTACTCACAAAAAAAAAAAAAAAACATACCACAATATGCATATTTTGAACAATAAAAGCAATAGGCAGCTCATTCTAAGAGGAACAGAACACTCGGGACTGCTCTTATTTTCTTATTTTCTCCCTTTGCATTAAAAACAATATATCTACCAGAGACTGTGAGTACACTGAGGCCTTGACTTTGTTGATCCTATTTCTGCATGTCCAGACAGCATCCTTTTATTCTTTCCAGACTCTGTCCCTACTTCCATTACCTGTACATTTTTTATGTATATTCTTATCCCTCAGTTTGACCAGTAACTCTCCACTCAGCCATGCTAGTTTCCTGCCTCTCCCATTTGACTGGATGTGCTGGGAGATGGAGATCTCTTGTACTATGATTCTGTGCTCTCCTTAAATATGCACAAGCTCTACTCTGTTCCTTTGTCCTTAACGACAGCTTCCCAGGGAATCTCATAGTTAATCAAACAGATGGAAGTTCACTCTTCTCAAGTTCAGAATCCTGACCTTGCTTCTTGCTAGGCCCATATTCCTCAAGATCATGAGCTCAACCCAGGCCCAGTGACTACATACCAGGCTGCCTCCAGTCTTAACCTCTTTAATGATGTCATTTCCACTGGTGGATCTATTAGCACTTCTCCCCTGGTTGGTCAGACAGCCTAATGTCTGAACCAGAAATTTGTTTCCAGCAGGATACAGGAGCCTTCTGGATTGCTTGCAGGCCTCCATGTTGCTTTCCTAGCAGGCATTCCAGTGATTCAAATACCCCATGAGGATAAGAGCCTGCAACCACAATGCTTCTTGTAGTTGAAGCACGAAGGCCTCATCAACAGGCTCCCTTTGATCAGGTAGCCTATTATAAACCCATAGGCACAAGATGCCCTTTATTGGTCTAATCCCTAATTTTAACCCACAAGCTCACAATCTGATCATGGCTGTTTCTCAGAAATAGCTCTGCACAATCTCAATTTCATAACATAAAGGGCAATTCCCCCACTATTCCCTGCGTGTTTTTTCTGAAAAGCATGTAGCCCTCAATTATAGTGTTCAAGTTGTGCAATTCATCCCATCACATTTCCATGCCAGCAATTACATCATAGTTTTCTAACTGCACCACGGTTTCCAACTCCTCCTGCTTAGTTTGCATGCTGCATGTGTTGTTGAGGAGCTCTTCACAGCGCCTTTGAGATAAAAATCGAAGGTTCATGGCACTGAAGAAGTATAATAAAGCACTACAGGATGGAGTTTCCCTTTTTCCAGTCAGGGGGAACTTAACCAGACTGCCATGACTTCTCAGATACGATGCACTGTGGATTAGCAGCTTCATTCACCAGTTCCCTCAAGACCATTGAATACATATCATCAGGTCCCATGAACCCTCAGATTCCTTAGATGGTCTAAAAACCAATCTTCTACAGTATATCCACTGTTCTTCTCCCTGACCTTGCTTTTGCCTTCTCTGAATTAGGGAGTGTAACTGGAACACTTGCCATTGAAGACTAAAGCAAAAAAACTGAGTATCTCAGCCTTTATATCATAGGTAATTAGGTCTTCTGTTTCCTTCCAGAGAGAGCCCACATTTTCCCTGGTCTTCTGTTTATTACTAACACAGAGCAGTATGGATGTTTCACTCCCTCTAAACAAAAAGCCACATCAAAAACTTTTCAGCTTTATCTACTGAGACAAGTTGTGGTCAGAATGTGAAAACACACACATCCACACTAGACCCTATCTTTGTGATGCACAACCAACTGTACTCCCAGGGGCTGGGGTAGCAAGAACCCATCAGTCCATGATACTGTGGTAAACGTATTTTCTCCCAAGTGTGAATGCTGAAGCTATAAGCTTACACTGAAGAATCCACATGCAATTTGGTCTAAAGGAGGTCTTTAAGAACAATGACTTATTCCTGAGCACTGGTTTTGTTAGTGATTTATTACACATGGCACTTACTGCTGTTTCACATGCTTGCCTACTTTTCTATTTACATAACTACTTCAACCCTTTCTTCAAGTGTTCCACACTCCAAGGACTGTTTAAAAAAACACTTCTCAATCCATATTTTAAAAGAAGTCTCTGTTATTGGAGGGGAAATAAGAATTAATAGAATTACCAGTTTTGAAATGTTACTTTTCAGTAAAAGGACCTTTTCAACATAAATTAATGTCCATTTAACACTCTGAAAGCAGCATGCATCCTGTGCACTTTGCAGCTGAAGAAACTGGAGCTGCCAAATGTTTCAGGAGAAGCTGGCAACATACACTGTAAAATACCGTGCCTCGAGGGTGGTGCCAAAGGTTAGGTATCCACTGGTGAATCAAACAAACCACGCATTCTAGTGCGTATTTCCTCTCCTTACATAGTAATATCCGATATGGTAACTTACCATCCAGCAGCCAGTTGTATCGATCTAGACCTTTTAGCTCATTCAGCATCAGCCGTGTCATGATGTCATCTGGAATAAGCCTTCCTTGATCAATGTAGGACTTGGCAAGGATTCCAACTTCTGTGAAAGTAAGAGTAGTCATGTCCCAGTACCTGTGACCTCCAGCAACTAAAAAAATGCCAACAACCCTGTAAACACTTCACTTTGATCAGGACGGCACAGATCAGTAAAGTTATTAACCAGACACTGGGATCTGATTTTGCAAATGTATCAGATTAATTTGTTTGGACTGTGGCTCCACAAATAGCAACAGAGGCATTCAGTTTACTTCTAACCCCACAGCCCAAAAATAATTTTACTGCTGAGTATTTGAAAGATAAGTTCCAAAAACCAGGACGAGTCCTTAAAACAAGAATAAAGAAACATTAAGCATCCAAGCTCCGTAATGACGCCAGCCCTCAGATTTCCTGCTGAGGAATTTATTTTCTCAGTTTAATATCTAGTTATTATTCTATGACTTCTCTATAAATGGAAACTCCACAAGTATTTAAGAGAGCAGCACACAATGAGGCACACATGCCAGAACAAGTTTTTATGATTACCAGAGTTACAAGATGTTTATAGATGTTGTAAACTATTTATAGGAGTGCACATCCACTAGTACTTTCCCGTGACGCTGACTACCCTTTAATACCAGTTGCTTAGCCCACCAGCTTGCTAAGATGCCCTTTACACATCACAGATCCAGATATCACACTCTGATATTACATGCATTGTCATGCTGCAGGTCATCTAAGTCATGGGAACAGCCAGGAAGAAATCCATTTGCCTGAGCTCTACTCTGAGCACAAAGTCTTTGTGGCCTTAGTTTATAAAGCAAATAGCTAATTTAATAAGTCACCTCAAATAGCACCTAAGTTGTGTTGTTTTGTTTTATCGTGGATTTGCTTACGTGTTTATTAATGGACAATTCAGATCTAGTAAGCTAAACAAGAGGATGGGATGGACTGACATTACTGATACACAATAAGACCACTTCCAACAGGAAGCAGTAAAAAATGCCAGCCCCATCACCTGATGCAGTATTGAAAGCTGTACAGTGTACAATTGAATATGCACTTGATGCCCAAATCTGTTAGATTCATGCCACCATATTGCTCAAGCCACAATGATCTAAGTGTACATGCAATGCAAACCTGGTGGAAAATGGTAATACCAACATTCTTTGTAAACACAGGTGAGCTGTTGGGCGCAGACAGGTGAAGCATATGGCAAGTTATAAGGCAGACACGTCTTATTATTTGAACTGTGGAAGAGGAAACACAGCCTGTAACTGCAAGCCCCTCATCTTCTAGAGCCAACTATTGCAGGAGGAAAAAATAATCATGGAATCATAGAATCAACAAGGTTGGAAAATACCTCCAAGATCATCCTGTCCAATCCCTACCACCAGCATTTCCCCACTAAACCACACCCCTTTGTACCACACGTGGTACTTCCTGTCAAGACAAAAAAATTGGTATTTGTGCTAAAAGTTTTTCAGAAAATTGGCTTGTCCTAACTGCATACAGCAAACAAGCTTCAGCCACATTCAGACTGCAGGCTGCTAAGCACTGTAGAGACTGTCACCAACTCTCCACTCTCTGACATAGCAGAACATGGCAATAACTGCAAACTGCTAAGGACACTCATGCTCAAAAGGACTTTTCAACAAAGACTGCTTTCAAGAGACAGCAAGTGCTAAAAATAGCTCCATACAGCAACTGGTAATTATATTTAATTTTCCAAATTTTTAACTGTCCAATTTAGCTTTACAGTTCCTAAAGAACTAAGCACTGCAAGACTCCATTATTACCAAAGCTCTTTTCCTCCTTCCCTCAGCTACATTCGTCCAGGCTCTTTGAAGTGCCTCTCATTCCAGCTTAGCCCTTTCAGTATCCTACCCACTCTCACTACCTCAATATTCACCTCAGACATTCGGAGACTGTTTCTGCAAATAGTGGCTTACTTTTAATAAAATTAAAACAGAGCTTCATGTGCAGTAAGTCATGAATGGAAAACTCCATAGTCAATTCCTTTAAGTTCTGTTAGCTAACTCTGAGTGAATTTCAACACCTCCTACATCGTTCACTGATCTCCTCACTTTTCTTTCCATTGCTCCAAAACTCCCTTATCAAATCAATCAGTGGGTATTTATTCTTCTCATACACTCCTCAGCTTGACTCTGTTTACATTCTTTGATCTTGCTTCCAAGGTGCAACACTTTCAATGGGCACAAAACTAATCTATTTCATAAACAGTGTGTTTTCTTTCTCTTTTGGGAAGTCTTCCATTCTCACTGGATCTTACTTAACCTGAAGGTTCACAGCAGTAATAATTTTTGTTTTGTGAATCTCTGAGAGAACTTATTCTGACTCTACAATCACACAAAAGTCTGGATGTGTTCAGATATGCATGCAGAGGTGGTGCTCCTAGCAAATGTTTAACTCGGAGATACCAAACACAGTGAGGTCAGTCAACCGAGCTAAGGCCATTACTCTTACAAAGCGAACATGGTTTGTGTGAAGATATGTGGAAATCAAAACCAGCTGATTTCATAATAACAGATCATTTTTTCATTTTCAAGGATGCTCACAAATTTTCAAAACCAATACCAACAGTTACGTAACCATGCTACTGCTTTGCTGCTGCAAAGGTAGGTGGCCGTTCACAAGTTCTTCCAGGTGCTGGCACCAACACCCTCACTTTACCACAAGCAGCCACAAGTGGTTCCTGCAAGATTTTCAGCCCCACCATCAATAAAAGCAGATCTGCAAGCCAGAGGGTGACCTGTCATCAGTAAAAAAAATAAAAAAAAAAAAAAAAAAAGAGTTGCACTGGAAGAGAGCCAGAGATCAAGACAGGACAACACGGTAAATCAGATTAAGGCAAACAGCTTGAAAACTTTGCCACTCCTTTTCGGAACACCCCCACTGCACACACGTCTGCCCATTTCGGGACAAACACTTCCGACGGAGGAACTACGAGGAACTCCGCGGCCTCACAGCCCCTGGGACAGGCCTCGTGTGGAGCTCCAGGAAACGTAAGCGGCAAGGAGACCGGTGCAGAGCTTTCCGTTTCGCGCGTGCTCTGGGAGGGCCCGGGGCTGGCGGCGGAGCCAACCCCCGCCGCTCACCTGTCTTCTTCTGCATGTTGTCCCTCAGCATATCTCCGCTAGAGAGGTGCTTCATGCCGAAGTGCTTGATGATCCGCGCCGAGATCGTGCCCTTGCCGGAGCCCGGCGGGCCCATGATGACGGCGCGCAGCAGCGGCGGCGGCGCCATCCCGCAGCGGCCGCCGGACCCCTCTCGTCGCCGCGGCTGCCGCGCACAGGTCCCGCGGCCTAGGCCGGGGGGGGCGGACCGGAGCGAGAGGGAGAGCGGCCTGCAGCGGCGCCGCCTACCCCCGGGCGGTGCCTCGTCCCGGTGCTGGGACGAGGGTGGCAGGAGGCCGCGGAGTGCCGGTGACAGCTCTCCCGGTGAAGGAGCTGTCAGCACGGGGGAGAGAAGGGAATGATCTTTACAGCACACAAAATAACCGCCAAAATACTGATACCCAAGCAAGCCGCATTAAAACGAGAAGCATCAGACAGCCCTTAAGCATTATGTCAAAGTAACTTCTCCCTCTCCCTCCTACTCCCACCCCTAAAAAGCAACCACATTAAGGAATTACAAGCACTGATGCTCATTATTGCCCGAACGCACCACATTCATACTTACCAAGAGCTTATGAGAGCATCAGCCCTCCTTCCCTCCCTCCTAGCTCCCCTTCTAGCACCTCCCTCAGCCTGCCCAAGCTTCAGGAGGACCACCACAGCCCTCCCTCACCAAGCCCCTGGCCCCTGTCCTGACCATATGAGTACCTCTTCCCAACCCTTACCTTGCACAGTTTAAATTTCCCAGATTAGCCTTGAACATGACTAATTATCTGACTGTCACCTAGAGATCACTGGACTGTTGACATATACTGCTATCACTACCTCACTCTTCTGCTCAGGTGTCATAAGGTTGTGCTGTGGTCACCTCAGCTCCTGGCTAACCCAACCTCATTCAGCAGCTCTGCTCTTGCTGGTATTCATAAGGCTGCTCCAACAGTATGATAGCAAGTAGCCACATTTTTAAAAAGCTGGGGCTGAGCTTTGTTTAAGATAGTTGAATGTATTCTGCCGCCAGTTGGTCCTCATTTGAGCAATGTTGTTCCAACGACATCCAGAGGCTTCTTCCCACCAATACAATTCAGTGATTCTCAGCAGTACGCAGCATTTTCACTAAAACAGAACATTGTACCAATAGTTGAATGTTCACTGTCACGTCTGCAGCAAGAATAAGCCTTCCTGATAAAGATTATGGAAAGGCTGATTACTAGATCTCCACCACCATGAGCATGGAGAGCAGCAGTGAAAACCAATGTCACAGAAAACAGAACCAAAGACAAAATGCACTTTAATAAAATCCAGCTTTCCTTTTTACAACCTTGTTTAATTGCAGTGGTTGCAAGAAGTCTTCTGAAATAGCAACAGAAAAACCTCCAGATGGGCATGTGGTATTCAGCAACAGTATGAACAAAGCCCAAAAAACTGTCTAGTAAACAAGATGATAGCCTTAATGTTAAAGTATGAAAACACTGGCTGAGTACTTAGAAGTATAAGCATGCAGTAAGCCCCATAACCAAACCTGTTATTACCTCTCTTTATTCTACAATGCAGCAGGACAGAAAGTGTGAAACATTCAAAGCTTTATGAGAGTTCCCTGGGAAACATCTCAGTCTGCCAAAGCAGTAGTTGTATGCACAGGCTGAAACACAATTTTGTAATGTAGATGTTAGAAGCCATGCTATTTTTTGCAGTTAAACGTTTCACATAAAATTATGAAAGGTAGACAAGTTTTGAGTGTTTCTAATACAAATTTTTGGGGACAGGGAAGTTATTGTGTGAAATAAAGAGACAACAAACACTAGATTTGTCAGTGAGATCACTAAACCTTATTTCCAAAGTCACTACGTATAAAAAATGGAAATAACTTATCTATGTGTTAATGAAGGAGCCTGAAGATCAACTTCCCTGCAGGCGCTACTGGACAGTTCAAAGAAAAGGCACAGTGGACAGCTAAAACAATCACACCATCAAAAACCACTAAAAAATGTCTAGATTTCAGAAAGCATAAGCAAAGAAAGAGTGGATGGAGGTGGATTGAGAGGCACTTCACATACAGAGTCTCACTAGCATATAATATTTGCAAAACAACACGTGGGTAACTACATTACCAAGTGTTCATAGTAAAATGAATTCTTGTTCCCTTCTCCTCAGCTATCTTTGCCAGAGTACATCCCTCATCCTAATGGTTTTACGCAACACTTGTGGCATATTGAGAAATGCAAAAGTGAATAAATATAGGGAGGATCTGTAGCAGCATATAGATAATTACAGATAATGGGTAATTCAGTACAGTCCTTTAGTTAAAAAACATGCACATCATTTTTTTCTGCATAATTTTAACATTTCAAACATGGCAATTGTTTATATTAATCCAGACTAAACTACTCATACCTTAACACAGTAACCAAGCTTAATTAATACAGCCTACATTGTATTCTCAATTAACCTTTTTCCTGCTTACAGATCAGATGCTCTATTCACACATGTAGTTTACACACTTATGTCCAGACTATATGCCCTTGTGCCCTTAAGTCCTGATTAAGGAAATTTACCATTTAGCTATCACAAGGGCACCAGAATCTTGCTGTAAACAAGTCCTCGTGTTCTTTCCAAAAAGGAGTCTTTCAGACTTTTCAGTGGCTTTTCAAACACAAGTAATTCTTTAAAGAGACTTATTAAGACTTACACTGTAAAAAGAACTTTAGTCTTATCTTCTCCTTGGAGATCCATGTCCTTTTGAGTTTGGTAAAGAATTCCATTAGTACTGTAACAAAACTCGTTTCCTAACCTTTCCATTTTACATCAGAATGGTTTCTTATGTGAGGAAGAAGTTACACAAGGGCTGTAACAAAAGTAATGAAACCTATTTTAGTTTGTTGGCCCACAATGTCAGATGCACACATTGGTGAAATGGTAACAAAGGTTGAACATTCCCACCAATACTGTTAGATTTTGTTGCTGTATAACAAATGGCAGCAGTGTGGCAGTCCTACAGAATGTCGTCTGACACGGAAGTGCGTATGAAGCAAAAGTGTGTTACTGAATTCTTCTGTGCCAAAAAAAAATGCACCATTGATATTCATCAACACTTGCTGAATATTTCTGGAGATCAAACACTGGATCTGATCAGTGAAGCGGTGGGTGGTGCATTTCAGCAGAGGCAACAGCAACATTAAAGAGAAGCCATGCACAGCTGTTACATCATTAAATGAACAGTATCTTGATCAGATCACCCACGTGAATCAGCAGATTAAAACCAGGGAAATGGGGCTGAATATTGGCTTCAATGCACTGGAAATGATGGCAACAACGTTGGAATATCAGAAAGTCTGTGCTGAGTGGGTCCCATGAATGCTCACACAGGAAAAAAAGAACACTACCTGCGAGTCTTCCTGGAAGTATTGAAACAACAAGAGGCTGAAGGTGACAGATCCCTGGATCACATAATTACTGGTGACCAGATGTGGAGTCATCACTACAAGCCAGAGTTAAAAAAGCAGTTCACAGAGTAGTGACATGTGAATTCCTTAGTGAAGAAAAAGTTTAAGACACAGCTCTTAGCGAGTATGATGTGCACTGTCTTTTGCAATACAAGAGGTGTAATCCATCTGCTTTTCGTAGTACACAGAAAAACTATCAAGACTGCTACACTGCAGCACTGAATAAGTTGAAAGTTCAAACTTCCATTGTCAGACCAGGGAAAAAGACACCTTTCTTTTGTAGGTATGATAATGCCAGACCTCGTACCAGTTCAATGACCATGAAGTACATTTCCAGACTTAGTCATACCACACCCAATGTACAGTGGCATATAGAAACATTACTTTTGGAATGACCTACATAAAATACAATCCCTTTAACATTTCACTTAATATGAAGGATATAGAAATGGAAAAGGAATGAAATTATGTGATTGTTGTATGCCATTTTAGCCTAAATAAGCCAGAACAATCAGGGTTAAGCAAATCATGGGTCTTCCAACACTTGAATATACACTGCATTCACCAAAACTATCACAGGTGACTCTTAATCACCTTCTTTCTGTATATGAATCTTTAGCAGATTCAGACAAAACACCATCAAACTTAATTTCTCACTTAATGCCTACTTGTGTGGAAAATGGCCACCCTTCTTGCAGTCTGAATACAGGCTTGAACATGACATGCAGAAACACTTTCTGTCACTAGATGTCAATGAAACCACGTTTAAAGATACTGCTGCTGCACTTGGATGCACAGTTCTTTCACTCTGGCAGTGCAAGCACCCATGTTATAGCACCTTGTTGCCCAGTCTACATGGTTATATCTGAGCTGCATGTGCACTATATGCTCTCCGGTCTATTTAAAACAGCTAACATTGCATACTATTTGATAAGTGTGGAAAAATTCAACTCCACAATGACATACCTTGCAGATTTTACAGTATTTTCATATATTTTCTACACCTTTTTCTTTTCTTCCAAGTGATGAAGATACTCTGTAACAAGCACCTCCACACATTGATTGCTGATTTGGTTTAGTTTTGGGAGGAGGAGGGAGGGGGATTCAGATCTTGAAATTATTTCTAAATCTTTATTATAATCCAAATCAAGGAAATACACATTCCAATTATCTATGTACCAGTGGCTCTCTTCCGAAGATTGCCAATGGGAATATAAGAAGCATACCTTCTACAGCTGTTCCCCAGGCTGTATCAGAAACAGTTTATTCAACCTGCCCAGAAGCTATGAAGTACCTCCATTTATCTTAAATTGAAATTTTTCAGATAAGGCATTCTCCATAAGATTTCATGTTCACTTGTTTGCCCAATCAGTTTTAGAATTGGACCCAAATTCATCTTCCAATGTAGGAATTCACATGGTAAAATTCTATTTGGTACCCTACTTTTTCAACTGGAAGGCAGGGAATCAAAATTACAATAGATTAAGTCAATAGCACTGGGAGGCCTGTGTTCCTTTTTGTTTAGCAATCCTGCTCTGCAGCACAGAAGGCTGTCTGAACAACTGAAGCTGTTTCTTTTATAGATAGAACTGTTTCCCTAGCTGGCTCAACCTCCACTATTGGAACTGGCTCCCTAATTCAGACCACAATAAAAACTTATTTGGCAGAGGAAGTTTTCAACTTGTAACAATACAGAATATAATGAATAATTAATGACTGCCAACTTCATGAAAGCCTGTGGGAATACAAGAAAAACTGTTCAGAGCAGAAGCTGTGGAGCAAGATAAACAGCATAGAACCAAGGACACCTCTAGAAGAAAGAACATCTCACGGCTCTGATTGGATAAGTGCCTGTGTGAACGGCTGAAGAGAGTTTTGTAGAATGCTCTGTTGACATGTAAAGGTGGATGGGAAAGATATAGGGGCGGATGGGAAAGCTAGAAAAAGAAAACTTGTGACGGTATGTAAGTGATGTGAGAACTTGTAATAAACGATTTGGATCATTCACACCTGAGTCCGTGCATCAGACGCTGCCAAAGCCATGCCTCAAATTCCTACCTTTTTGATATTGGGAATTTACTAAGAATGGCGTTTTTCCCATTTCTTTAAAAACTACAGTTAAATAGTTTTTAGAAGGAATGTTTCATAAGCTTATTATAGACTTGAGGAAAACCAAGACAATTTAGTACTTCAGAACGGGAATTACACAGATTCTCTGAGATCATCAACTTACATTTTGGTGAATTCGACTTATACTTTAAAATTAAATCTTGGGTAAATAACTTACCTTGAGCATATCCTAGCTGAAAACAAACTGTGGTACATCCTCCTTTGCACAAACAAGTTTCTCACAAATCATACTGAATTTCCCACTGACCAGGATTTCTTTCCTTCCCAAGAGTTCATTCTGTTAGTACATGAGGTTATATTACTAAGGCATTCCTCCACAGATGACACAGCAATGGTCACTACACATGACACTACTTTAGGCAATTTGGACTAAGATACTTTTTTTTTTTCTTTTTGTAAAACTCTCTAAAACTGTTAGTTACAGGATTCCTCCCTTAAATTATAGTAATTTTAAACATTTGACAAAAATTCCTACATAAATTTCTCAAAATTTTCAAAAATTCATTTAATATGCTTTAAAACTAGCACAATTTACTAGTAATTTCAAAAGTCAACTATCCAGTCAGTTGAACAGCTGATTTAAACTTTAAATGTCACACCAATTAAACTGTAAAGGACTGAACTTAAAGGAGAGTACCTGCAACAAAACTGTATATAAAATATACTCTCTTATTTTCTTGTCTTTCAAATCTATTCAAGATTGAAGTAGTGTTAGAAGCTTTTTTTTTTTTTCCAAACCATCAACCTTATCACTATTAACCTCCTTCAGCAGGTTAATCCTTCAGCAGGGTTTGTATGAGATAGCCTTTTCCTTTCAAAGAAGCTATGACTTATTTATGCAAAATGATAACTACCACAAAAAACAAACAGTTTCTGTACAGAATTGATGGCTCTTCACTGCTTATACAGATGAATGAAGTATGGGAAAATACACTCCAGACAGTAAAACCACCAGCACCTCAAGGCACATTAAGGAAAAAAATATCTGAGAAACATGATAATTATTAAAAAATAGGCTATCATTCAGATAGTACAGATTTATTTGAAACAGATTTAATCTTCATAAATAACTGAAAGTTGATTCTAAAATCTCTTGACCTGGACAGCAATATTTGAAGAGAACTAAAAAGAAAAAAGAAAGAATTTCAAAATGATGCTCAAGTATTGCAGTTTCCTAATGATATCAGAATGGTTCAATTTTGAACCTTCAGAAATCTGAGAAGTTTTATCACTACAAGCAATTGACTGTTTCCATGAGCCTCTTCAAAATGACAAATGCATCTCAGGCTTCTGTTTATTGTTTTTAACTAGCACTCCAGCTTTGAACAATTTGCTTTAACCAGAGACTTTAAAGCTGTCAGAATGATTGCATTTTCACCACAGGAGGACTGACACATCCCTCCTCCAAGGAGAGGTTGAGTGAGTCTTGACTGTTCAGCTTCGAGAAGGCTCAGTGGGGATCTCATTAATGTACATAAATACCTGCAAAAAGTATGTAGCCAGGCTCTTTTCAGTGTGCTCAGCCTCAGTACAAGAGCCAATGGGCAAAAACTGAAACACAGGAGGCTCCATTGGAACATCAGGAAGCACTTTGTTACTGTACAGGTGACTGAGTTCTCCTCCAGAAGATCTTCAGAAGCCACCTGGGCATGGACCTAGGCATCCCTCTGGACCAGATAGACCCAGAGGACCTTTCCAACTTCATCCATAAATATGAAAATATGAAAAATAAATGCAAATGTATTAACCAAACAAACAATAAATAAATAAATAAAAATTTGTAGGCTTAAAAGTAGAATACGACACAGAGCTGAATGTTAAAATATAGACTTCCCCTTAAAATGATCACAGTGTGTTCATTCAGGAACAAGTCTATGATTTGGGAGCTATGATTCAGTAGTAATCCAAGTCTAGCCATATAAAATTGTCCATTTCACAACATGAAACTGCAGGTCGATAACTGCAATGCAATTTCCATTTTGTTCCATGTTAATCCAGGTAGGCAGCTAAACACGACACAATTCACTTGCTTACTCCCTCTGCTTGGTGAGATGAAAAAGAGAATCAGAAAGGCAAAAGTGAGAAAATTTGTGGCTTGAGATAAAGACAAATTGATAAAGTTAAAGCCACACATTAAGCAAAGCAAAACAAGGAATTAATTCACCAATTCCCACTGGCAGGTAGATGTTCAGACACATTCCTGAAATGCAGGACTTCATCACAACTAACAGTTATTCGGAAAGACAAAAGCCACAACTCTGAAAGTCCCTCCTTTCTCCTTCACAGTTTTTATTGCTGAGTATGATGTTACACAGTATGAAACACTCCTTCAGTCAACTGGGATCAGCTGCCCTGGATGTGTCGCCTTTCAACCTGTCATGTACACCCAGCCTCGACAGTGTTTGAGGGAGTATAAATAACAGAAAATACTCTTTGTGCAAGTGCTGCTCAGTAATATCCAGAACATTGCTGCATCATCAACAATGTTTTGGTCACAAATCCAAAATACAGCAACACATGAGCTATTCTATCCCAGCCAAAAACAGAATAGCTACCAGTAAAACCAAATTTCTTTTTCTGAGGACTGTAAGTAGTCAAATTGTGATAGATCATTACAAGTAGCTTGTAGATCAGTTTATCTAAATAACAAATGAACCTTAGTTGCACCGATAAAAAAAGCTGAGCTACCAAGCAGCTAATAAGAGGACGTCATAGTTCTTGCAAAGCGTTCCTATCATGGCAAAAAAATATATCTAAATAAATGCTCTGTCTCTGGAAAACAACTTATTCAAAAGAAATTGAAGTGTTATTGGTTTGCATGAAAAACATTCAGATCTTTTCTGTTTGTAGCCATATGTATTCATGGCATGTGGTCCATCATTGAAAGGACATCCAGAAAAAAACAAGATTTCATTTTTCTCTAGATAACAGGGATTCTGCACCCACAATGCTGCTTCAGTTTAGATCAGGGGCTATTTCATCTTTAATTCATCCGAATATCCAGGTAGTAATACTAAGTTTAAACTCCACTTTTGCTATCTTGAGCTGCTGTGTACTCCCAGAAGGTGCTTAAGGCACAGACAAAACTGGAACACATCTATTGAGTACGCAAATATGTCAATATTTTGCTCTAGGGGAAGGTCTACATTGAGAACACACAAGAAAATCAGAAACAGCATTGCTTCCTACAGCCAACGTTTCTCATTGAAGATAGAGAGATCACTGCTGGGATCATACATACATCAACAGTCACTAATGGTCCTCAGCATCTCCACCAGCAGCCTCCCACTCACTCAGCTCCTGTTAAGCACAGGTCCTGAGGGCTTTTGTTCCTTGCCTCAGCTATACTGTAGGTTTAGATACCTCCAGATGCACTTCCTGACGGGATACCAGGCCTGTCCCACCTCCTGGATGGGCCCCTCAGACCTAGGATACAGGTTTATCTTTATCCCCATCCACTACTCTTCATAACTGGATATGCTAGTTGGATCCCGGGTCTGACAAACTGCTGTCAATGGACCCAGCACCTGTTCTGTGCTTTGGTCAGTGAAGGCACTGCCTGCCTGTGCAGCACTCACCCACTGCTCCTGGAAGCTGTCAGCTGCTCCCTGCTAACAGTCTGACTTTGTCCATAGCAAAGCACAAACTGTATTAACCAGGGATAAGAGCTAACATGAGTTTCTGCACATGAGGAAACACAAAGCAGAATATATTTGTGGAAAACACCACAGCATTGTGGGCTCCCTCCAGCACAGGATATGAGATCACTTTTCTGTGTTTTTAGTTTTTTGCGTAACACAAGGAACTTCTTCCTGCATGGGCATAAATGTATCCCAGCAATTAACTGTTACCCATGCTATAATCCACACTCCCCTCAAGGACAGCCCTAAAGAAGGAATCTCAAGTGGTTCTTTCATTAATTACCCTTATGACGGTCAGCAATAAATTACTTTAAAAAAAAGTTTGACCGAACGCATTGCCAGAAGCTCATTCGTTCTTATCTGAGAAGTGTATCCTGGTCCCCAAGCCGTGCTCCACCCCACGATTTAATTCTTCATCTGTCAGATAACGGGGATTCAGGCATCCCACAGAAGCTGAGGCTGCAGAAACAAAGCACCACGTAAGAGCGCGGGTGAAAGACCACACCAAACCAGAGGCAGACAAACACCAGCCTGCAATAAAAAAAAAAAAACACACGCACGACGAGCAGAAAGGAGCAATATTTAATTACCGACTCTCGAGGCACGGCCCCGCAAGCAGGACCACGTCTCATCCCGCACGGCAGCGCCGCGCGCACATTGGTCCCAGCGGCGGCGCGGGGCGGGGCGGGGCGGCCGCGCGGTTCGCCGGGCACCACCCCTTCCTCCCTCCCACCGGCGCGTCCGCCACCGTCCCGGCGCCCCGCCCCGCCCCCTGCCCTTTGCCCCCTGCTGTCCCTGCGCTTCCTGTTCACAACCACGTGGGCGCGCCGGGCGGCGCGGGGCAGTGCGGTGGCATGGCGGGCGGCGGTGGTAGCGCGCAGTGCCTCAGCTTCGCGGGGTGCAACTTCCTACGGCAGCGGCTGGTGCTGTCCACGCTCAGCGGTCGGCCGCTGAAAATCCGCAAGATCCGCGCCAAAGAGGAGGACCCCGGTCTCCGCGGTGAGCGAGGCGCCGGCAGAGTCCCTAAGGGTGCGGGTGGAGAGAGTGGCGGAGCCGAGCGTCTGACCGGGCGCTGCCACGGAGGGCGAACCCACCCGCTGCTCGGCCCGCCGCTGAGGAGGGATCCGGACGGCGAGGGCCGGGTGTCGGCCGCGGGACGTGCCCGCTGCGTGCCCGAACGGGATCACTTGAGGGCACGGGTGAGGATCCCTGTCCTGGGAGTCCGCAGCCGTTTGGGGAGCCCCGCGGCAGGCAGCCCTTTGCTCCCATGCGGAGCCCTCGTCCCCAGAATGGATACTGGCGGTGCACGGGGGCACGATGGGGCGCGGAACGGCTGTGTTGTGAATTGCATTTGGGGTTGTGTTCAGTTGTGGGCGTTCCTCTTTGGTAGGTGTGTCAGCGTTTGGGCGTTGGTAATCCAACGTGCAGTTCACTCAGCTTGTTGTGACCGGAGCAGTGAAAGCCTTCTGAACTCCGAGGGCCTAATGTGCTCACGAGGATGCACTCCGGAAAAAGTCCTGTCGCTGCTGTGTGAACTTTCCCTCCATGATAACGGAAAGCAGGACCAGCACTGTGTGATATATTGACACACTGCAATTTCTGCAAATAGCTCTTTCCTTTCTTTACTGTATCCAAACAGCTTGAATAGAAAGAAGATGGATCACTGGTTGGGAAGCAACAGAGATCAGTATCAGGAAGTCCTGCCAGTCACTGACATGGGCATGTGCACTTGGTCCTTGAAACTGGCTGGGTTCTGAACTCTGCATAAATTCAAGCTCTCCTTTGTGTTAAGCCTATGCCAGCCCAGGATCTTGGAATACTTCAGTACAAGCACTCACTTAAGATATGCTTGTGCTTTCCCATGTCTTTCGGCAGGAACCTATACACACAGGAGAAACCAATTAGCACCACACAAACTTCTGTAATATAGACTGTAAGCAAAAAGAGAGAATCACAGAATGGCTCAGGTTTGAAGGGTCCTCAAGGATCATAAATCTCCAACCCCCCTGCTACATGCAGGGCCACCAACCTCCCCATTTAATACTAGACCAGGCTGCCCAGGGCCCCATTCGGTCTGGCCTTGAACATCTCCAGGGATGGGGCATCCACAACCTCTCTGGGCAGCCTGTTCCAGCACCTCACCACTCTCTCTGTAAAGAATTTCACTCTGACAGAGAACCTAAATCTTCCCTCCCTCAACTTAAAACTATTTTCCCCTGTCCTGCCGTTACCAACCCTTTCAAAGAGTTGATTCTCCTCCGTGTTCTCCCTTTAGGTGTTGAAAAGCTGCAGTGAGGTCACCCCGCAGCCTTCTTTTCTCCAGGCTGAACAAGCCCAGCTCCCTCAGCCTGTCTTCATAGGGGAGGTGTTCCAGCCCCTTGATCATCTTTGTGGCTCTCCTCTGGATCCTCTCCAACCGCTCCCTGTCTTTCTTGTACTGGGGGACATCAACTCCAGAGATGTGATGGGAAGAATTAAGTTTTTGTAGTCTTAGCACTGCCATTGATAGTTTTGAAAGTGGAAAACTAGAATATCTCCAGGTAGCTCGTGGTTCCCATGCTTCAGTAGTGCTTCACATCTGAATAGCAGTTCTAAACTATGTTACAGAGGATAGTGGGAAGCTGTCATTAGCTTGTTGTACTTGGGGTTTTACGTGGAGTTCTGTTGGCTAGGATTTGTACGTACATGCAAACATTCCCTTTATTGTAAGCAAAATGTAACTTGTCAACAGCTTTATCCTGGGCTTGGGTGATCAGATGCACCAGCTTCTATCATTTGCTCTCCATTTGCTTAATGCAAAGGAAAATGTTTAAGTCTGGTATGCTGAAGTTTCTTGCTGTTTTCAGGAGTAAATTTAAGTAACTGTAAGATTATTTCTTTGTTCTATTCCTCAGACTTTGAAGCATGTTTTATTCGCCTTATTGACAAAGTGACAAATGGCTCTAGGATTGAGATAAACCAAACAGGTGAGGTCTGTTTTCTCTTCTTCCTCTGTTGCAGTCTTCCAGGCTCTATTACTTGAAGTAAAAATTGCAGCT